TAAGCAATGAGCCCTCTAACCCAAATTTTGTCTTTTATATGTTCTGAATGAGAGACAAGTTCCAAATACAGTAGTTAAGCTGGCCATACTTGTAAAGTAAAAATTAATTCAAAATGCTTTTAAAAAGTGCGAAAAATTATTGGTGTATCTTTGTACCTATAGTATAACACGGAGAGTTGTTTGTTTTTTTTTATCACAATTTTCAAAATTGTTATTACTCCTGATTGAAATATTGCGACGACATCATTTTATTTTTCAGTCTAAAAATTTATTTATTTATTTATTTGTGTTTGCAGTCCAGTTTAAGTGCAGCACAGTGCGACATAAGTATTAGACTAATATTTTAGTTTTAAAGCAGACTGTCTCATTGCTGATATCCTTCAAAATTGTTGTTTGAACAAAACAAATATATGTGTGACTTTGTTAACAAACTGCAAAGTGAAAAATCAAAGTATAATTATTATTTTTAAGCATTTAAACTTGTAAGATGATAAACAAAATATTTGTGAGGCAGAATTTACAGATTTATGCATTAAAAATGCCATCTTTTATACATGTAAATTTAGCATTTATGCTCAATAATAAAGTAACATACTTTCAGCATCTGTTTAATTTTTATTGTTTGTAAAGTTTAAATCCGCATTTTCTTTCCTATTTCCAAAATATCATTTACTATATTTTTGTAGGATAATCCGACGCCTTCTTGCTTTCAGCTCTCTGTGTTTTGAGGAAGAAAAATTTCAGATGCATTCTTCATTTTAAACTGATCCAGTTTCTTCAACAACAATTTACATGATTCCCACAATACTGAGTAATTATCACTCAAATCTGTATTCTAGAAAGAAATGGTTCAATGACTATCAACAACTTTGTCTTTTCAAGTTTTCAACTTGTTATGATATAAGACTGTGCTTGGTTAATCATGAAAGGAAATTTACAAAATTATACAGTAGCCGTTTTATTATATCCCAAGCAACGACTTCTCTTTTACGAAAAAAATTAAAGTGATTTGCATGCCCAAGGTACACTTCCATGTTCAGGGTAGGCCTTATTTTGAAAATAGTTTCATCGTCATATACCTCTCCATTCTCAATATCTAACAGATGGAACGAGTTTGGTCTGAGAACCCAGTTCTTTTTTATAATACATTGAAATGGGTTCCGCTGAAATATGAACTAGTTTTCTCAAGAGCTCGATTGATATTTCTTTTGAGGTCATCTTGGCAATGGGTGCGACATCTCCTTAATAATAGAACTTTAGTTTCTATAATAATAGAACTTTAGTTTCTATAATAATAGAACTTTAGTTTCTATAAAGTAACTAAAGAGACATTTGGGCCGGGATCCCCCTAAAAGTACAAAATGGGATATGTTTTGGGCCAAAAAAATCAAAGGACATGACTTTTGCTACTAAAATTGAATACTGTGGAATCATTTCATTTCGTGGGGGTCAATGTTCATGGGTAACCAAAATTTTATTGGTTCGTGGAGACGTATTTTCGTGGATAACTTGTATTTACAAAGTTCGTTCTTGGGGATGCTAATTCGTGGGTTACAGTGACCCATGAAATCCACGAACATTGGCCCCATTCGAACAATGATGATTCCACAGTATCCCCAATGAACGCCACAGTTTGCCTGAATGTATTCCTTCAAATGACCAACATTAACTACAAAGTGAAGGCAGAACATGAATATGTTTTCCCAAAGTATTAATCATTTAATTAAGGCTATTGCAATGGATGTCAAGTTTGAAAATTTAGATAAGGAAATCTTCACACAAAAAAAATAAATAAATAAATTAAAAAAAAAAATAAAAAAGAAAGAAAAAAGATTGGCATTATCAAATGAGGAACAATCTGCCAATATGTTTTAGAATTTTTTTTTAAAACATTTTTAGCAAATATTGCATAACATAGGAGTTTAGTTTGAGAGTTTCATATTTGCACCAGAGATGATCATGTAATTGTATAGTGGTAAGATATTCTTGAGTCCAGATACTTGAAAACACATCTGAATACTTTAACTGATTTATCAAAACTGAACTGAGCATAACAAAAACGCTATGCCATGGAACTAATTTTGCAAGTAATTAATTTTTTGTACATTGGATTTTCATGAACAGTTGACTCGAATGAATCCCAAGATATGTTCCACATTTGAATGACTCCTGCAAGTGTAGTAGTTCTGACTTAAGTACAGAGATTTTCGGTTTAATTGCCGCTTCTAGCAGTGTTGATTTGTACATTACTCAAAGTATGTCTCCTGAAAGTGTAGTAGTTCTAACTTAAGTAGTTTGTGATAGAAATTTTCGGTTTAATTGTTGCTACAAGCAGTGTTGATTTGTACATTACTCATTCTTTCCTGACTATTTGCATACAAATTATTTGCATTGTTATCTGCTTGACTTGTTGAGGGAATACTTGTAAGTATTTGTAAAGAAATGTTGCTAAGATTACTCACAATTGGATAAACAGATGAGCAGCCTTTTGAATATTTGACAATTGATCTTTGAATCTTTGAATTGAGGTGTCTAGTCTCCAGTTCTTTTTTACTTTCTAGGGTCTTTAATGCTGCCTTAAATTCCTGATGAGGAAGTAATTCTTGCTATATTTCTCATCTGTTCTCTTAATTAGCCTTTTAAGTGCACTTCTGTGTCTTCTTTGAATTGCTCTATGTTTCTCCATTAGTCACGGCACCAAATCATGTGACTGTTTAATACTTTTGAGTATAGATACACGAAAACATATATGAACACTTTATACTTAAGACTGGAAATTATTTACATCTCAGAGAGTAGTCATGCATCTGAATATTAGTCATATTTCAAATGGATAGATATCATTGGGATATATAGAAAAAAGAAGTTTTATTAAAACTAGGATCAAGTTTAGAACAGAGTAACTCGAAAGCGTGTTGGAGATATATAGGCCATTATTTGTCTAAGGAACACTTTAAGAGAACATTGCAACATATGATACTTACAAGTAGGTTGACGCAAAGCCAATCTGTGACGGAATTTTTGCATTTAAACAGGAGCAAACTCAAAGGAGGAGTAAGGTTTTTATTAATGAAAGAGAATTCGTTTTTAGTAACTTACGCAACTCTACGAACTAATGTTTGTGTATGTGTGTATGTTTGTATTTGATTATAATATTGAGGGAATGAGAGATTAATAGATCTACTCCTTAAATGAATAAATTCTTGCTCTTTTTGTTTTCATCACTTTTGATGTTACCATCTGTCATCTTCCACGCCAGACGGTATGTATACCATAATATCTCTTCCCCGTTTGCACGAATCTAAACTTTGGTGCAAGGAGATCTTCAAGCCCTTAACACTCTTCAACCCTTCATATCCAAACATGCATAGGTCTGAAAAAATAGAGATTTCTTGCATAATTTCTTGGACTCCCGATTTCGTCTGAAATTGATAAAAGAAGACGCCAATGTTTGGACCATTTATCAGAGATGGATAGCAAAACCCTATAAAAACAGATATTTCTTCACAGATTTTAATTCTAACATGCAGTCTTCCAAATTTAGACATTATGGTTTTATCCATGATGTTATTCGATGTATTCAATTATGAATCTCATTAGCAGTTGTAACTATATTTACAAGATGATTACTTTAATTGCTCCAAATAATTTTAAGAAAAGATGTATAAAAGCAGCGGTCGAAAACTTCCATGGAGAATCTCGACGTCACAAGATGTGTTCAGACCCTTTTTCTGCAAACTATCGGGAAAATTCGACGCATATCCTCAAAATAAAAATTGGTAAATATAAATAACCGAACTATAGACTTTTCCCCAGCTCTCCTTCGAAACTTTGTCGTATCTCTAGCGAAAAACACAACAACATTTGGGAGCATATTTCTACCACCTGTTTTGGGCACAACCGCCATCCGAGAGGCTTGGTGGGACACAGTGATTAAAGACTTTGACATTATTTTAAGTGCCGAACTCTCTCCGGTAGCTATCCACGTGACCTATATATGTACCTCTTCCTGCTAGGTGCCAAAATACTCTCAAGCACTACTTTTCCCTTTCATGGTCTTAGTTAAGACATTTTTGATTTTCTGTTACTCAGGAATGCAGCAGCGTGGTTTAACAAACAACCACATAATTATATTCGTTCATAGATTCTGATGTTAGAAAAAAAAGTTTTATACTACTATAATAATTCATTTGTACAACCCTCCTGTCAGCAACCTTGTTCTTACCTGCTGTAATTCAATGGACATATATTTTCCCACTTTTTTCCCTATTATAATAAGCATTTATTTATTTACTTGTAATATTCTTAAACTTTTATGTATATAATGTTCATGCAATCTCGGGAAAAAAGGGTAGGAAATAAAAATAGAATGAATGATACTCTATATAACCTCCTTCCCTCTGTTGTGATTTAGCAATTAATACACATAATAGATCAAGTTAATTATGATTTTTGTAATTGAAAAGCTATTCAGATTTTTAATTAAAATGAAGAGTTTTCCATCAAGAAAATTAAAATATTATTTCCATTATCAACTATCGTATAAGTTGCTTTTACATGTACAAAGTACATATGCATTCTCACAAAAGGCAACAATGAATTTATATAAATTTTCAAACAATTCAATTTACAGTATATTTACAATATGTTATATTACAGTATGATCTCATTTTGAACATATAAACTACTAAAAAGTAATATTTGCGCACATTATTGATTAAAACAAATATTGTTTAGTTTTTATAGTCATAGAAGGCTAAATAAGTCCTCGTCATGGTCTATTAAATTTCAGGTATACATAATCAATAAAATGTTATGAATAGGGTTGATACGCAATTTAAAAATGGAGGATTAGTCTCCACTGACCATCAATGAATCGTGCATTTCTCACGTCGGCTGTTGAGTTACTTTTAATTATCTGGTATCATACATGAGGCGAATACACAGCTTAAAATAACAAAACCAGGACGCGTGACTCTATGGACGTCCAGGTAAAATCATAAGCACTGGAGCGAAGCAATTGTTGACAAACGTCTAAATCCGCGTTTTTATTCTGTGGTTTGAAATACCGATTTATGGTTTCCGCATAAGCTGCACAGGCGGTAGAATGTTTGTATGAATTAAACATTTCATTCATGTTGTGTTTTGGAATTATGAATGGAGAACTGAAGACAAAATAGAAGTGGGAGTGTGTAAATATACAGCATGTTTGAAAACTACAAGTTCTCTTTTTCATGTTTATAATGACGTAATGAAGTCATTTTTTACATCCGGATAACAAATTGAAAAGAAAAACATGAGGTGGTGGACGTGTATTACATATATTCTGTTTTGCTTACCGTTAAAATGTATGGCTTCCACGCGCTGCTATTATTCTGATGGTCAACCTGAAGGTTACTGTCATGAACAGACGTTTTCAGAAACTGGTCAAGTCCGTTTTGCAGCAACAATTGGGATTCATGAACCACTTGATGACCATCTGTGTGGAGACATATCCCCCAGTGGTGTCCAAACAGCTATAGCAGTCAAATGGATAGTGGACATTTTGAACGGAGCAGGAGATTTTGTCAACGCTTTTGTGCCAGGCATAAAATTAGGTTTGTACTTGTATTATTGAATGTTATTGTGTTTTAACCATAATTCCATTTATTTTTAGTAAGTATTTCATTAAATCGAAGGAAAAGGGATAAATGATACATGTTATGTAATTACAATCTCAAAACTCCATATATAGTTTGTACTGTATTTCAGATTACTTTTCATTACACTTGTTACTTACCGCATCGCCTTAAAAACAGAAAAATCAAAGTCAAATTGTAATTATAAAATTCTTTCTGGTGCACTCTTAATTATTCAAATAAAACCCATGCACTTACTCTGTTATCACTTATTGAAACCAAAAGAATAGTTGACACGTACCCCTTTTATAGAAAAATTAAATAAAATCGTTTTACTATAATATATTATTTAAATGATTGTCCTTTTACTATTTGTAACCAATTCAAAAACACGTTCTGAATCTCTTACTCATTCATGGAAATGTGTTTTAAGGAATTAAGAAAATATAGACACATCTTTGGAAGAATTTAAAAAATCAAATTTAGTTAGAAATATGATAATTAAGTTTATTAAACTTTAAAACCCGGACCTCGAAGTATTTATTAACACCATAAACCAAATGTTTCTGATATTAATTTATCTAAAAATACTTTAATCTTTTTGACACATTTCATGCTTTGTTGGAATTAAGAACATGCCATATGATCATTGACCTTTAAAATATTCTAAAAATGCGTATCATTCCCAAGAAAGTTAACGGGGTGTAATAATTATGGATTTGTAACTTTAAATTATTTCTGTCATTGAAATAGATTTTGCTTAAGATATGAATTACCCATCGCCTTCTATTTAAGTCATTATCATTGTATGTATATAAAATCAATCCGAAGAAAGGAATTTTTGTTTTAAAAATTATATTTTAGGCAATGCATTAATGTAAAATGAGACACAGTAGATCGAAAAAATATATATAATTGGGTATTCTTTTCTTTTGGAAAGGCATGAAAAACAAGGGGCCCAAAGGCCTTAACGGTCACCTGAGTATAATACAACAATTTAGAAGTTAAATACACTGATAGATGAAGCATTGTTGCCCTAAAGCAAGAAAAGTAGGAAGATCAGGATCAACAAAATAATAAGTCTAGTATTCAGTATCAACTCATAAATTAAGTTCTAATCTGTCCCCCACTTAACACTATCACCATGCAGTCTATTAACAAACTATTAGTGCTTCTGTACTATTTTTAAACCCATATTAAGACCTCTAGCATTGACCTCTCTTATGGTCTTTGAAGAACTTTTAATAAGGTAAGTTATTTTAGTCTCATTTTTATTTATCTATTACTTACAGGTCTACCTGTTTATTCAAACTAAGAAAGTACTTTTTTAATTAGTATACGATAAACATTCTTGCATAATTATCTTATTCTATTAACCTTTCAAATACATTATTTACAGTGATTAATTATCAAAGGTGAATGGAAAAGGGGAATAACTTCTCTCAGTAGAATACAAATTAATAGAGCCCTGCCCAGGACCAGAATGCTTAGACGAATGGTCCAGATGTTTAAAAATCTGGTAGAAATACGCTTACTCATATCATTTAAACTTTTACTCAGTTTGCTTCCAATATGCCCAGAAGCAGAGAAGAATTTCACAGGTACAATGCATTTTCACTACAGATTCAACAAAGCCTTACCCTAACACCAGAACCCAAGACAAAGGGACAAGAAATTTACAAATTTGGTTACTCTCATCATCATAACTATGGACTTCAAAGAATTAACACTTTTCCACCATATTATCAAAAGCCCCCCCCCCCCCCCTCATTATGCCAGAACCCCTGACCCTAGGACCACAAGATTAGATTTAAAAATTCTGTTCGAAGCTCCCATTTTCATCATAGCTAAACAATTTATTTATCAGCTCAACACTAAGGAGCAGACAGGATTAATTAATGATTAATTAATAGAATTAATGCTTTTTCACTATATAATCAATAGAGCCCTCCCCCCTCCTCAAGAACCCTAAAAACTGAGGCCATATATTTAAAAATTTTGAAAGAGGCATCCTTATCTATCATAATCATGCACTTAGTTTGTTTAAATAATCTCCAGTAGCAGAGAAGAAGATTTTCAAAGAATCAATGCATTTTCACTACATAATCAATAGAGCCCCACCCTAACACCAGAACCCCTGACCCTGGGGCCATGAAATTCACAATTTTTGAAAAAGGCATTACTATGCATCATAACCATGCACTTAGTTTGTTTAAATAGTCTCCAGTAGCAGAGAAGAAGATTTTCAAAGAATAAATGCATTTTCACTATATAATCAATAGAGCCCCGCCCTAACACCAGAACCCCGACCCTGGGGCCATGAAATTCACAATTCTTGAAAAGGCAACCTTATGCATCATAACCATGCACTTAGTTTGTTTAAATAATACCCAGGAGCAGAGAAGAAGATTTTCAAAGAATTAAAGCATTTTCACTATATAATCAATAGAGCCCCGCCCTAACACCAGAACCCCTGACCCAGGGGCCATGGCTTTCACAATTCTGAAAGAGGCCCACCTCCTCATCATAACTATGTACTTAGTTTATCACCTTAATGCCCAGGAGCAGAGGAGAAGATTTTCCAAGAATTAATGCTTTTTCACTATATAATCTATAGAGCCCCGCCCTAACACCAGAACCCCTGACCCTGGGGCCATGAAATTCACAATTTTGGAAGAGGTACTCCTGCTCATCATAACTATGTACTTGGTTACTTTATTAAATATCCAGAAGCAGAGAAGAAGATTTTCAAAGAATTAATGCATTTTCACTATATAATCAATAGAGCCCTGCCCTAACACCAGAACCCCTGACCCTGGGGCCATGAAATTCAGAATTTTGGAAGAGGTACTCTTGCTCATCATAACTATGTACTTAGTTCCTTTATTTAATACCCAGGAGCAAAGAAGAGGGATTTTCCAAGAATTAATGCTTTTTCACTATATAATCTATAGAGCCCCGCCCTAACACCAGAACCCCTGACCCTGGGGCCATGAATTTCATAATTTTGGAAGAGGCACTCTTACTCATCATAACTATGTACTTAGTTCCTTTATTTAATACCCAGGAGCAAAGAAGAAGATTTTCCAAGAATTAATGCTTTTTCACTATATAATCAATAGAGCCCCGCCCTAACACCAGAACCCCTGACCCTGGGGCCATGAATTTCATAATTTTGGAAGAGGCACTCTTGCTCATCATAACTATGTACTTAGTTCCTTTATTTAATACCCAGGAGCAGAGAAGAAGATTTTCAAAGAATTAATGCACTTTCACTATATGATCTATATAGCCCCACCCTGGGGCCAGAACCCCTGACCCTGGGGCCATGAATTTCACAATTTTGGTAGAGGGCTCAATGCTTATTACAATGATGCCAACAGTTTGACTGCTTGATGTCCTGGTGTAAAGAAGAAGATTTTTAAAGATTGCATTATTTTTGGTGGTTTTAGCCCCACCCCTCAGGCCCCAGGGGGGCAGGGACCATGAAATTCACAATTTTTGTTCCCCTTTACCCATAGATGCTATATACCAAATTTAGTTGAAATTGGTTGAGCGGTTCTAGAGAAGAAGTTAAAAATGTTCAAAAGTTAACGCACGACGCACGACGACGGACGAAAACAGATAGCAATAGGTCACCTGAGTGACTCAGTTGACCTCAAAATATACATTTATTGACTTACCCTGAACAACTCCATATTATTTTTCTACGTATTTTTGACAAATTTAATAAAATTGAATAGGCTTATTAATATGGTCTAACATACGTGGACAAGAAGATCTACTAGAATTAATCCAATTTAAAAATATTAACCATGATTTAAAAACACTGACTCTGTTATGACACATTTAAAGATAAATCCCAAGTTCCAATTTCTTTTTTATTCCTGCTGACAAGCAATAAATACTCAATAAAATATACCTAAACTTACTCATTTGAAATACATACTAATGTATAAAGGAAATATTATTTGATTATAAAACACTTGTATTTCAGTAAGATGAAATAATCATATCAGTACCTTGTGTCAAACCTATGCTATCACCGAGTAAAACACCCACACAATCTTTATTAATTATTTTCAAATTAAAGTTATCATAACTAAGTTGTCCTACTTAGCTAAAAGTAACTATGGTTTCAAATACTTTGGGGGTTGTTATTTTTAATTTTTCCTATTAAGCAATATACAAAAAGTACTGAAATGTTTGTATGTTTATTAGTTAATAACCACTTCAAGGCCAATAGTACGAAAACCCAAAGGATATAAAACAGTTTTTTTTTCTTCTTTTTTTTTTTTACAAGACATTGATGTTTGTGTCAACTCTCAGAGAAAAATTTGATCTTTATTCCTTATTTTTTGTAACTAATCATAGTATTTACCGTGATTTGTACCAGTGTCTTTCACAAACATTCAAAATAAATACAGATATCTAACAAAACAAGAATTAGTGGTTTGATCTAATTTTAACTTAATATTATGTTCGTTGAATTATCTTAACTATTTTTCTCATGTTTGACCTGCATTCTAGCAAAAAAGGTCGAATAAATTCTTTCACTTTAAATAACCTTGTAGCGTATAAGGAAGGTCACCTTGAAGAATGATACTAGAGTAGAACAAACAATATTATCAAAACAATTTCATTTTATACCAGTTATATTGTATGCGGTTATCAGCAATTTAGCAGCTTTAAATGACCCCACTATTAAAACTAGAATACTTGTAGTTTTATTATGATTCAGTGTAAAAACATTATTTTGAATCTTTACATTCCTTTCTTCAGAAGAAGAATAATCAAGTTGTTTCTTTTAATGTGGGTCTCCAAAAGTACAGAAATATACAAAAGTACAAAAATATTGGTAGCAGTAACTGTAATCTATAACTACTGCGGTAACTTTACATCAATCTTTAAACACTTATTATATCTGCACAATAATGCAGATGAAGATGTGTAAAATATAAATTATTACGCACAATTTTCACTTATTTTGTATTACTTGTCGGCCTTAGAAATTAAAAAAGTAGAGAATATATTTTTTTTAAAAATTGTATTTGCTTCATTGAATGATTATGACAATAAATTTACAAAAACTCGTTTGCATAACTTTGTAATTTTCTTACTTAGGTTATGACATATATGATGATTGTGGAATCGTGTCACGTGCTACTGATGGCGTTTCAGAAAAGGTTTCAAACACAGATCCTAGTATTTTGATGAAATGTGATGATCAATGTCCATCAGCGCAACCACCATTTTTAGGTACCTACATGTATATAATTCTAATACTTTGAGACTGAAAAGAAACTGATTCTGTCCACTGTCTACAGTGTACTCTAAAAATTAAAGGTAAGATATCTAGCAATAAAACTTTGAAAATATTATTCTGGGAGATTAAAAGATTTTTTTTAATATAGCTTATTTGGATTTTTTATTTATTTTAAAATTCCTGGTCACAAAACAACTATCTATACTCGTTTGATTTCCATTTTTATTTTAACTAGATATACTTACGTAGATGACAAAAGAATCTACAAATAATGTTGTGAATATATTTTTGTAACACTGTTGTTTAGGGTTGTTGAGTTCAAGCACACCAGAGGCAACGTCTGCTGCCCTCTCTGTTCTTTCTCCCGCCATCACAGGTGTGACGTCACAGTCGCCTTACAAAGAAATTAATGACAGGCGTTTGATGTTTACATTGCATGAAGAGGAAGAAATCAAGGTAAATCAACAAACTTTTATTTACGTATTGGCTTAAAAACTATAAATATATTATTTTCTTTTCAATATTTCAACTAATAATATTTATATAAGATAATATATATGTAGGTCCGTTTTTAAGAGTGATAAGCATGATCATTATTTACGAGGGGTGATCAAAGTTCGAGAACAATCATTGTATCTACATAAATACAACTAAGATCAGAATGAAAATTTTGAATATATATAGTCATGAACATGATCTATAAATAGCATGTGTTACATAATATTTTGCTTCCTGTTTATGACGTCACAACGCGAAAATGACGTCAATATGTGGATGACTTGTGACAAGAAATGAATGACTCAGTCGTACTCGAGAAAAGAACAGCTGTAAAGATTTTAAGTAAATCTTGGAAAATCCTTTACAGTATAATATATATCATAATTTCTATAAGGTTTAGGAGGACAAAGGGCTTGCCAAAAGTTGAATTAGTAATTGATTGATTGTTTAGTGAAGGAAGGGAGATGGTTAAACATGATATTTGTTTTAGGTGCCCATTGAAGTAGGTTGGGAATGAGATATGTCCTTCGTTGAGCAAATTGTTATGAAAAATCGCGAAGTCCCTGTTTGAAAAATAGTTAAATATTTTAACAATAAATTTGAATTAAAACTTAATCCCCTAAAATATCAGTTACTTTGGACTGTTAACAGATCAGATACTAGTATGATATAGAGAAAGCACCCAAACGTGGTCCATATTGGATACACGACGCACCCAAGACATAGGAGTCGGGTTTCCATGGACACCTTGTTCATACTGGAAAAGAATATTTTAATCCACCCATCCTATTGCTGAGATTTGGCAATTTTTGAAAAATGGACTATTCTTGTTATAAAAAATAATCTGCATGGTAAGAAATATAACACACAGGGAAAACGTTGGGCTGCTGTGAACAGTACACTACGGAGAATGTCATGTAACCGCCTGATACACGTGTTTCGTGCATGGGCAGAAGACTGACACGTGCATTAAAACCAGAGGGGCCAACTTTAGAAAATGATAAACACTGAAACCCAATTCGATTTCTTTTATGGAATTAATTTAATTAGTTCGCGAACTTTTTGATCACCCCTAGTAGATATTAATATTTGTAACATATTTAAGCAATATTATATTTAAATTTATGTCATAAACAGTGAGAATAGTAAAATGTAAAATTATTTTTCCGACGCTTTTATCATGCTGAAAAAAAAATTCAGAAATATTTTTATATAAGATTTACGAACATTCACAATATTTACTGTCGTAGATTTTTTTTTAAGTTCATTTTATGTAAATACTACCTTTTAAAAGGCAAAAGCACTTTTATTGCCTTATTTCATGTCTAATAAATTCAAAACATGGTGTTTTTTTTTTACTTATTTCATAGCATGTTTTTTTTCTTTTATATCTGGAAATAATTTTAAAATTCTTTTCCATTAAAATTACACTAAGATTTTTGCGAATCATTTTCCGATTATTAAATTATCATATCCTCCTTCATATATCATTGCAAGATATCTTAAACACTTTAAATTTTATTTTATGCTTTCAAGCATTGAATGGTTATATAAGAGGAGTTCATGGAATTTTGATTTCTTCGAAAATGTCAACTATTTGCCCTTTTAAAGACTGCACATAGCACCTTTTAAATGACCGTATCAGTGACTTCAAAGTACTTTGGATAATATTTAGAAACATAAAGTGAAATTTTTTTGCATAGAACGATTTCTGTTTTTAAGCTTGATTTTGAGACACATTTAAATAAATGACAATTTGTAGAGTTATTGTTCTTGGGTAAGGGTCAAACATCCTTAAATCCCTATGATTGATTTCTTATGTACTGCTTTAATTTTATCATTTTGATGTTCATCTTTTAAAAAGAATAAATATTTATAACACATTTTTGAAAGGATTATTACAAACTCGATAGAAATTGATAAATGATATTTACCTCCATATGTTTTATTGTGTATATTTACAATCCTTGCAGGGAATAGTGAAATTGATGCAACATCAAAAATGGTCTATGATAGCTGTTTTATATGTGGATAACCAAAGTGGTGTCGCGATGTATGAGGCCCTAGTAAACCAATCTCAAAATTCTGGAATATGTTTGGCTTATACAGCTAATGTAAAGGAAAAGGATCTATCAATATCTACAGACAAAGCTCAATTAGAGCCAATAATTGAAGAATTGGAGAAGAGACAGAAGAAACTTATTGACGAAAAGCTAAGTGTCGTGTTCCTTGGAAATACGAAAACAGCAAAAATACTTTTTGAGTACATTAGTGATCGTCCAACAAACGTGATTATTCATAAACTTCAATGGATTTTCCCTTCAAATATCCATCTGGATTACAATCTGAAAAACATTTTGAAGAAACCCCTCACACAACAGGAACAGAGTCAACCAAAAGTCATATTTGTAGAAAAACAACACAGATCTTTGACCTCTTTCAAGAATTTTTTTGTTGATGAACTGCTGAATTCAAATAAGTACGATCAATTGCCGAAACCTTATTTGGATCAGTATGAGTCAAAGATGTTGGGTCCTAGCAGTGGAAATAAAAATGATCTTATTGAAGTTTTTAGACAAACAGGAAGTGTGCTTCCTACAGTGACGGCCATTATGATGTTTGCTACTTCCCTGCGTAAAATGCAGAAAGAATTATGTTCTATTCAAAGTAATTTGCAATTTTGTCCGGAATTGCGATCTAATTTGACTAACGAGTCCCTCCGTCTTGATCCGTCGAGTTTTGAACATGAAATACAAAGCTCCAATGTAATTCCAGATGAATTGAAAAATTTAACCATAACAAATGACAGTTTTCTGTATTCTTTTCAAAGTCTTCAAGATCTTCAGTTCTCTTTGTTTGATTCTTCAGACGCAACATTACGAAAGGTATGAATATAAGTGCTACTGGTAATTATTGAATATATAACAAATACTCACAAAAGTCTCTGCATTTTTAATGGAATAATCAAAGAAAAGTATATCCACTTTTCCATTTAAAAACAATTCTTTGTTTTGTAGCTAGCAAGCCTCAAGATTGAAGAAATTGTTGTTCATGATGAATCCAAGCTACTAGAGCTAACATCTGAATGCAAGTTAACATGTGAAGAGTGTTGGAATACAGAAGACATTGATTTTGCTTATATTCCAGGAGATGTTTTACTTCTGGGAATATTCTCACTACGGGAGGATGGATCAACATCTTCCACAGACTCCATAAACAAATACAAATGTGGCGCATTTCGAGATGCTTATACACCTATTACCGTTTCTTCTTTTCTTCATTCGATTACAAGCTTACAAGAGCAAAACCTTGCTAGAACTACTGTGGGAGGCATTGCTCTAGATGACTGTTATAATCCACTAAGTATTTCGTATGTCTTGTCTGAATTATTTACAGGAAGGCGTCACTTAAAAGATCCAGAAACAGGAGAGAGAATTGACTTCAGTAAAGTCATTGCTGTTATAGGAGCACTGTCGAGCAAAGTCACCCAAATAATTGCTGATCAATTGACTTTACTGGATATTCCATTGATATCTTATGGAGCTTCGTCTGCTACTTTGGATGATAGAATCCGATATCCCTTGTTCTTACGAACAGTTCCAAGTGATCATTTCCAGGTCCAGGGTTTAGTAGATCTTTTAGAGAAATTAAAATACAGTCATGTGGGAGTAATTTACCTAGACGATGCCTATGGTCAAAACGCTAAACAATCTTTTATAACTATGACAGAACACAAGAAAATATGTATTGAGGAACCCCTGCCTATTACTGAAGATTTCAAATCTGATGAAATACAGTCTATAATCGACAAATTGACCGCACAGAGAGGTATTATTAATCTTCTTAAACTATAATACAAATATTAAAGTTCAAAATGAAATTTAAAATCATAAGAATTTGATAACTTTTATTGAATTTCATATTTATTTTAGTGAAAGTTGTCCTTTACATTGGAATCGATACAGTTTCTGAGATGTTGTTGGACAAGCTTAAGTCAAACATCGCTGATATTCATTTTACTTTTGTTGCCAGCGAAGGCTGGGGAACAAACACTAGAATTCTAGCTGGTGACCGAGGTAAGGCTGCAGCGGGAACCTTGGTTTTCGTGACCCATGATAGCTTCGACATGTCCAATTCTTTCAAAAACTACCTGGAAAATATAACCTCTTCTTCTCAAACTAAAAATCCGTGGCTGAAACAGTTCTGGGAAGTGGTGCTGGAATGTGATTATCCGGGTTCGTTTAACAAGCGGTATTCTAAAACTTGTGGAAAAGGGATCAAATTTTCAACAGTTCAAGTTGAAAATTTCGCCAAATCTCAGAGAAGTGTTCATGTTCATCAAGCTACGTTTGCTTTAGAAAAAGCTTATCGTCAAGTAATGAATGACGTTTCATGTCAGTCTTTTCGAAATAGGGACTGTGCTGATAAATTTGTGACTGCCATCAAATCCACAGAACTTGTGGGAAGTAATGGGGAAAGATTAAGAGTGTTTAAAGATGATGGCAATGGATATATGGGATTCACTGTTTACAATATTCAAGCAGTTGGCCAAAATAATTACGAATATGTTAATGTAAGAATTGTTCTTTTTACAAAACAATTTTAAATTTAGATCTACCAAGGATATTAAAATAAGTTCTTATATGCAATGAAGGGAACACTAGCTATTATATAAATACTAACGTTGTATGAATGATTATATATATTTCTGCATGGAATATAAATGGAAAAAGACAGAGAAATGCTTTCACCAGTAATCAATGATATACATGTATCTATGTATTATTTCAGGTTGGTTCATATTCATCAACAAATAGCGAAAAATTAAAATTAAATATTTCAAGGATAAAAACGTATAAAGAGGGCAATCCTCCTATACTAGTTAATGACCTACAAGCAACATGTGAAGCTGCAAGATCTTTGAGAGCCCCTTGCCTTGCAATTTGTCCTATTACATCTACTTTGCCACCGACTACGACTGCACCTATCACACCTAAACCTGAGGAACCGACGTCAGACAACAGTACTCTACTCAACATCATCTTAGCCGTGGTGATAGGCGTTCTACTGCTCGTTCTTATATTTCTTGCAGTGATGATGTGTAGGCAACAAAAGGTCACTCATGCATTCCAAAATAAAGAAATGATAAGTAAGTTCCTATTCTGTTTTCCGTTGTAAGATTAAAAGCGAATTAATCGTATGTCATGTATCTAGTCTTTGATTAATAATTGATCAAAACTTCTTTTTTAAAATAGTGCTTTATGCAACGAATTTGTGGCAAGGAATCATCTTATTTGATTTCTAAAAATAATAATGTTGAATGATGGTTCGTTTACAGTGAAAAGTCCAAGTGTGGGAAGTTTGAACATTTATGAAGAACCTTACAGGGAAAGACGAAAACGTACAACATCTTTTGAACAAAATGAGCATGTAAATTCTTCAACAAGTGGAGTTATATCAATGAGGTCAGGTCGTGCTGGGTCCCTAAATGTATCCAATGGCACAACTCAAAGTGTTAAAACACCAATCAAATACTCTGAACTCTTACAATTAGAAGTTCCATCAACTGACACCACGAAATGCGGATCAAGGGCGTCAGTTGCTACTTATTTGGACCCTGCAAATAACGATATTCCCAAAATTCAGATTACACAAGATGACTCTATGTTAAGGAATCCCAAATACAATGTGAATGAACAACAACAAAGATCTTTATCGTCCAACAATTTGAAAGATTCTGATTCACAGCTGAACTACATTCAAGCCAAGGACCTTGAAATTGAAGACGAAGAGGAACTTGCCCAGCAAGAATTGGATTTAAATTATCGGCAGCGTGCAATTTCACTGAACGATAGCATGATTAATGGCCAGAACAATGTTCCCTCTCAACGTCCAGCAACTTTGCCAGGGATTATGCCCCGCTCGGTACCAGGCAACAGTGACCAAATGAGAACCCCTTCCTATCCAGCTCCAGTACTTTCCTCACATATTTCTCCCATGTACCTTGACGCCATTCATGACACTCAGATCAATGAACAATCCATGTATCCAGGTATTCCGATACAGTTTCAAGGAAATCCAAGCAATACACAACTTTTAATGGTTTCGCCAGGTACATATGTACCTGCGATGGGATATCCAGGAAATCCTGCATCTGGTTATCAACATATGTATATTCCAACTGCTCCACATTCAAATATTGGGTACCAGATACCTGCAACAACTTTTGCAAACCAAGATCTTAGACGTCCCCGTGCTTCGTCACTTTCAGCTGGTGTTCAGCACTCTTCATTGAGTCCACAAATTGCTTTCTTAAATATAAACCAAAGAAGTGATATGCCGCAGAGTGTTCATAGTGTAGCTTTACGTAATAATAGAGAGGGTGAATTTGTGTCCAGCACTTTGCCAGCATACAAAAACAAAAGTAAAGATCAAAGAGAGCATTACCATTCCATGACGTCGATGCCTGACGTCATTTCCCATGAACACGACGATGGAACAGAAATTATGATTTAGAAGAAAAAATATAATGCTTATAACATTAAATTTATGATGAGATATTAATTCAATATGTATTTTTAATAACGTTTATCTTTACAAGTGTATAAATGGAGCAAATGTATACGCAAGAATGATTTTAACCAAGATACATTTGCTGTTCAGCTTGAACCCTAAACTTTTGTTATTTATATACCATATTTTATATTATTTGACACATATATATATCATATCAAACCTGTTTGCAGTATTTCAGATAGAAAATAAGGATGTTATAGCTTGACAACTGCATGGATGTAAATGCATATCTTTTAAAGTAAAAGCTCAACTGATATTAGATATTTTTTTCTTTTATCATGTATTTATACAAGTTATTGTTATTGCTTTTCTTTATTTAATACTATGATCTGCTTTCTGTTTTATATTTTTTTATATTCAATATATATACTTTTGTTAATGGAAAATGCTTATATATACACTTTAAATAAAATAAATAAATTATCGTGTTAATAAATGGGTTGTTTTTTTTAATTTGATGGTTTGATGTCCTATCCGAAAGAAATGAAATCTATGGTCCTTAATGTTTTTTCTTATTGTCCAGCCGCTGATATTGGTGATATGTTTCTTGTCTGCCTATTCAACTCAAATTGCTTTTAACGTTCTTTTTATTATTAGCTATTTCTTTTATTAACATTATATTAAGCTTCCTCTTGAGCTTCAAACTCTGTGTTCACCATTTCATTATTATTTATAATAAGCGTTCAGCACAAAAAATATCAAAAGCGTATTTGTTCTAAATACGCAGATTTTTTTGAGTGTCATTTCATATTATAAAAGTTAATGTTCTTGGCAAATGATCGATGTAAGGTTTTTTCTGTGACTATGCTTTAATTTTCAATAATTGCTGAAGTAAATACAATATCATCTATGAGGACCCTTATGAAAATCCTTAAGTCCCTGGCAATGAAATATGGAGATAACGAACAGTGAGTATTCAAGCTCATAGTCCATTTAAGCAATACAGATTTGGAGAAAGCAAACACGGTCGCCTAAATGCATCAGAGGCGGGATCAGGTGCCATGGAGGAGTAAGCATCCTCAGTCGACTGGTCACCCGCCGTGTGCTCCTTGTCATGATCGGGTAAACGAAAAAATCCGTTAAAATTTCAGTATGTAAATAATGGCCTAACAATAAGATGAAAACGTCAGTCAGCATTTGACCTAATGATAGATTGTATTTGCTGATATGGTCATTGTATCGACCATAGATCTAGAACTTGCGAAATTATGACTTCAAACGAGACTGTTCATATCCTTGTTTCATCACCTTGTTGGTTACTACCTTGCTTCGTCAATTACTTTTTTTTGTAAATATAACAATAAAAGAACAATCCTTTGACATTGTATCACAATCCGTTACGCAAAAATAACGCAACTAAAAAGAAAAAATATTTAATTATTAATACAAGAACTGATCTATGAAGACTTACAAGATTTAAAGATAAGACACAAAAAGTCTAATGCCCATGAACAGGACAAATTCTTTCATTTCTCCTTAATCTATTTATTTTGCAAAAGTCTCTTCTCAGATCTTCATTTTCGTCAGTGATGTTTGGAACAGGATCATAGTTTGTTAATTGTAATCTTTCATTAAGGCTAACGTGTATATTTTCCTCAGAGACTTGGTTCATTGTTTCTGATAGACTTTCAGGTGAAGATGTTCTAGATTGTGTGGGACGATCAGATGACTGGTTGAACAGATTAATCTCTTCAGCCTGGGATTTTTTCCTCCTCCGTTTAAACATCGAGGAAACTGATAAAAAAAAGATTAAAAAAGGCTAGAAAATATCAAAAATTGTTGTTTAAAATAAGACTAATGAAAACATCCAATGCTACATTTTTGCTATTAGAATACTAGTGTAATGTTGAATCTATAAAGATAATGGGGAAATTATGTTTATATTTTGATTCTCTATCAAAACTTTTCAGAGATCATAAATTTTTGTTTCCTGTTGTCTTTTGTTAAAGTAGTTTGTACAAACCGTTTTTCTTCACAGCAATATACATCACTATTAAGAGTATGAGAGCAATTAAGCATCCAATGATTATAAATGGGGTGTTGCTTGTCTCTGGATTGTCACCGGCGCTTATCTGCCCATCTATGAAAGAAAAAATTAGATGTTTGAAGTGTCTATGACTTAATGTTTGTCTGATAAGTTACTACATGTAACACTCTGGAAATACTACGGTATAGATGCATGATCTATCATAAATATAAAAAACTCTAATAATTGAAGAAAAAAAACATAAACAAAATGTACTTTTCAAGATTTTTTAATACTCTAGTATATTCTAGTTTTCAAAAGGGATTTAATTTTAATGTTGAGCAAAATAGTATCTGTTGAAGCATTTTGTTTGAAAGCTTTAATTTATATCATGACCGAATTACAGAATTCATTATATTAATGAAAAACGGAGAAAATGCGTTCATTCTTATTCAGGGATGGCAATCAAATACAGAATTGCCAATCGGTCAACCTCCGGGCGTTAACACTTTCCGGCCGATTACACCACTAATTGTATCAAAATATATATTTCTTGATATACTGATTGGCTTTTTTTCTTAATTAAGCTCTATTTTCCTTCTGGTTTAAAGGGAATATGATGTCATAGTACCGTCTTTAAGAAGTGATAAGATAAAAAATAGTGGTTTTTCATACTTTTAATATACAGGTATCTGACCATTGTCCGTATCAAGCATGTAAACCTGTAGTTTTGCTCTGGGCATAGATTGCAATTAGCCTTTCAACTATATCGAAAAACAACCCTAGGCAGTGATGTTTGGATGAAGGTCATTCCTTAATATAAAAAAAATTTCAAGAAATGTATTTATATGAACCACAGGTGTTTTTCAAAGAGATGCTGGACAAGTTGAGCATTGTCAAGGTACTCAAACAGTAATGAACTCCATATGCTGACACTAATCTTAATCTTAATTTGGAGAAATTTTTTTTTCCAAATTAATATGATACCTAAAACGTTTACTTATCTGCATTCAAAGATTTTTCAATAGAATTTGAAATAAAACTTTCAATCAATTTGCAATTTAATATCACACATACTATACACACTAAGCTACTACAGATTTAAACCATCGATCTTGTTATTATTTGCCACTCCTATTCTTATTTGACAATATATCGGATTTGTTATCAATAGTAAAAGGAAAATTTAAAACATGGCATCACAGTTAATAGTTATGTTAAATGTTAATAGCTGATTTTTTTTTTTTTTTTTTTTACTTTTCATTACATATTTTAGCACACCTGAACAAAACCAAAGTGAAATTAATCATTGTCCTATACATTATGTACTACTAGAAACTTTCAATTGCCTAAGATACATATATAAATTCATATTTACATTTCAAAAGATTTTTCCTTAAGATTCTTTGCAAATTACAAAAAGTTCATGTTCTCATGAACTATCGTGGGATGAGTAAGAATATTTCCATTGTGATGTGACCGAAGTAAAAAAATAGTGTGATCTTTTTTTTTCAAAAATGATCGTTGAATGACAAAAATATGTGGCAAGTCATCAGAAAAATAATGTAAATATAACATATGAATTTAATTTTTGAGAATTCATGAGGTACATGAACTATAACGCTTCACGCCTGCATATTTATCATGAAGCGGAAACGCGCTTCATGAAATATGCCGGCGTGAAGCGTCGTAGGTCATGTCCTCATGAATTCTCAAAAATTAAATTCATCTCTTAAATAAAAGTCATCTGTTTCATAAATACAACATTGCAGATCTTAGTATGTATCACTCCTAAATATTCAAATAGTGTATTGATAGATAAGGAATTCGAAGACAGAGACAAACTCCCCGTTCACTAGACGCTTGACCAATCTCCAAGATATAATACCTTTTCCGGTGGATCCTGGCACCTCTATCAAGGGCGATCGCCACTGAACAAAAACAAAGCCGTCCTCCATATCAATAGAAGGGCAAGAAATTTCTATCTGTTGGAAAAAAAAAACATGTCACTGAACAAACATGTTAGATGTGCTTGTAGCAAAACAATGGTTTAGTCACCGTTATTAGTCAAAGAATTCTTTAGTGTTACATACAATGATACTAGTACGTATATCTAGATACATCTTGAGCCGGTACACACGGTAAGGCTTAATTGTCTAATAAGTCATGAAACTGAAGTGTTGGCCTTAGTGTATGTACACCCTTATAATCAATACATATGTTTCGAGCCTTACAAGTCTGTTTCCGGATAGAGCATTGTTCAATCCTTTAATACAAGACATAGCTGACATTTTCTTCTTACCCAATGAAAACCATTCATCCAAATGTCAATCTATTTTTATCAAACCATATACGTGGGTAGATTGGAGTGAACACAAATTATGATAAATGAAAAAAATCAATGTAACAACAAAAAGTGACTGTTCAAAATCCCCTCCTTTTAGAAAGTGTGAATTTTGTGGTCAGAAAAATTAATGCAGCGCCCTGGTAACATTGTAGTCTATTTGATGACTGAATGCACTATTTTAGATGGAAAAGAAAGATAAGAACAGAATCCAAGCTCAATAGTCCATTGAAACAATACACATTTGGAGTAGAGCAAATACGAACCTCTAAAAACATCAGAGGTGGGATCAGGTGACATGGAGGAGTAAGCATCCTCTACCGACTGGTCATACCAGCCGTGTGCTCTTTGAGAAATGTTTATATTCGTGTAAGGCTTAAGAGACATTTTACGGGATGAATTGTCTGTCAAATTCTAATTCTGGGCCAACCGTGAGTTTTCCTCTTCTTGTTGAACCCAGATTCACAAAACCTCCAATAAGCCAACACGCGTTATAGTTTTAGTACTTTTATATAGAATCAACATGGAATATACTTTTACATGAGTTTGGGATGTATCAGCACCAAAGGTCTGATTCCAACAGACTATAAATTTTCCCAACAAAACATACATATTGAACAATGATAGAACAAAACAAAAAAGGATTAACAATAAGTATTAAGAAATCAAGTATTAAACAATTATTGAGCAAATGATGACATTTTAGCGGCATGTATATAATAGAATTAAAGTAGATAAAAGATGAAGTGTCAATAAATATAAACAGAAGTCAATTAAGGGATTAAGTGTCCATCTCTGACTGTGCCTCGGGTAGGATTGAGGATATGTAGAATTTATAGAATTTATCACATTTGCCGAAATATACGAAAAGTTTTTAAAACAATTTACACGAAGTCCGAAAAGTTAATTTTCACAGTAATTTATAATAAGTCCGAAAAGTCGTATTTTACACCGTAACAGACGTACGGCTTGCAAAAACTTAATGTTTGGGACTTATAAGGCAAGGCTTACCGTGTGTGTATCGGCCTTAAAATTTAATTATTACCTTGATATAGTATATCCCTGGAAGTACGTCAAAAAATGTATTTGTGTCAGACCTCTAAAAGATAACAAATGAAAGCATGTTAATTAAGAGAACTACATCAACTTTTTTATTATTTGTGAGAACAAATCTTAAGAGAAACAATGTCTAAATTATTTTATATATTGTACAGATATTTATGAAAAAAAATTTCCATGCATGATAAATCATATCAGAGAAAATAGATCTAAATAGTTTATTCTGATGAATAAATTAATAATCACGGTGGAAGTTACCATAAACATAGTAAGTTTGTAAATCTACATGATCATACTAGGTTTAAACTAGAGATACTGTGGGCTCTAAGCTCACAAAATGATACCCCCGCTCCCATATGAGTATAATGGCAGAGTCCATTTTTGCTACGGGAAAGCCAAAAATTGTCTGTCCGATTAAAACATAAAGTAGGGTGTGCACTATAGCACTATGACTATGTAATAAAAATTATGTGAGAGCATGAATATATATTTTATTCAGGGGTAAAGGAAGGGTTGCGGTTAAGAAAGGGTACCCTTCATATTGTAGAAAGAATGGCAGTGTCGACCATGTTTTGCTAGAGGACACCTTAAATATAGTAAAGGATTTCACAATGGCACTGTGTAATAAAGATTCTGTGAAGTATCATTAAATTTTTATTCAGTGGTAATGGGGGAGTTGCAGTTAAAAGATAGGTACCCTCGACTTTATAAAAAGAATGGCAGTGTCCAATAGTTTTTCTATGGAAAACCCGAAATATGTGTCCGATCAAATAGTCATTTTTAATATTATTATTAAAAAGAATGGCAGTGTCCGTGCTTTTGTTGTGGGAAACCTAAAATATATGTCCAATCAAAACGTCAAATAGAAGTTGCATAATGGTACTGTGTAATAAAGATTCTGTAAAAATATCAATAAATTTTATTCAATGGCAAAGAAGGAGTTGCAATTAAAAGATAGGTACCCTCGACTTTATAAAAAGAATGGCAGTGTCCAATAGTTTTTCTATGGAAAACCCAAAATATGTGTCCGATCAAATAGTCATAAAGGAGACGCACAGTGGAACTATGTAATAAAGATTCGAAGAAAAAATCATTAAATTTTATTCAGTGGTATAGGAATATCTATTTGCAGATTACAGTTGGGTACTCTGAAGGGTAAGGGACGGACACCTCCATAACTATAAACCTCCCGCTTTTTAAGCGGGGGATATGATAACATGAATAAGAATGAAAAAGATGCATATAAGATGTATTTTCATTTTAAATGTTTCATACAAATAATTTATTTTTCCTACATGGGTGCTGTTGAAAGGTATTCTTACCATTTCAAGCTTTCCTTGATATTTCTTGATATATGTCCCACATGTTTTGTAATCAGTGTCATTGCACAAGAAAACATTTTTTTTACACATATATTTAGGTGTGTAAAAGACGATGTGGATATCGTTTTTCTTCGGAAACTTTGAGACAGCTACTGCAATGTCGTCTTGAAAATTATGAAATTAAACAATAAGAAAAACAACTAAAATATTTTCTTTCGTAAATACAATGTATAATATTTCATATATGTTTGAACCACTGTCACACTTATGTGTTTGCATCTTAACCATTGTTACAACGCAAACTGTAACAACGACACAAAATGTAATAAACTGAGATTATTATATTTTGTGTTATTATGCAAAATGTAATAATTTCCGTTTATAATTATTTTGCGTCGTTATTACATTTAGCCTTGTAACAATTTAAGCCATATGAAAAAACACTTACCCTTTGTGAAAGAAATATAATGTTCTGTAGATATAGGTCTCATATGAGATTGATATAAAGTCAGGAGCAATGTGTAAGAGACAGGCCATGGCTTGATATCTTGAAGACAAAGATGATTCTTGATAATTACCTAAAAGATTAAAAAATATCTTTAGCAATTAAGCTCATAATTAATCTAAGATTAAGTTAATCCTTAATATATCGAAATTTGCATAAAATTAAAATGAATACACTTACTGATTGTGTTGAGGAAAAACTGAATATTCGTTTCTTTGGAAATCTGTTATAGAATTCATCTTTATCGCCATTTTCATCTTTGCTGCTCAGTTCCAGATAGAGAGCACGGTTGTTCTCTATAAAGAATATTTACAAGATGTTGAAATTACACTTTTAAAGAAGCTTTTTGAAATTATTAGATGAGTGAATAGATTGTGATATATATATATATATATATATATATATATATATATATATATATATATATATATATATATATATGTATATATATATATATATATATATATATATATATATATATATATATATATATATATATATATATATATATATATATATATATATATATAAAGAAAGAATGATTATTTAAAGAGGCACACACTTTTGTATAATGATAAGTAAATGTTTCTTTTAAAGTTTCACCTATTTTTTTTAAAAAAAAAAAATATAATCATCAATTTGGCTACCCAGCTTGACCAGTTGTAGGAGATTACATATCAGGCCTACATATACCAGTACATGTATAAAAATATAAAAATTTATAAGATCAAATAATAATTTACAAATTTTACGTCATATAGAAAGATTAGAAATTACACAAATATTTCGTTTTTATCTAGAAATAATTCTCGAGAGTTATTTTTTTTTCTCATACTTACCCCTGCCCTCAGGTACCCGTATGTTCAGTTCTAATCCATGTGTGACAAGTTCCAGATCCTTGTTGTTGTATTTGGTTATTTCTGGATGAGGTGTCTTGGAATAATTATGAAGTCTAAGGAATATTAGACTAGGTCTTTCCTGGATTAGTCCCATGGATGGATGGTCGTATTTTTCAAGAACCCCATATCGCTTCTTGAAATTCTGAAACTCTTAATAAAGAGAAATATATTGATAGAAATTTTGAAGTAAAATAGTGATATTGAAAGAAATGGCGATGAGGATAAAATAGAGGATGTGAGCGAAGCAGGTCAGATACAGGTATGAGAAAGACGGCAAAACATCATTTTGTTGTTTAAGATAATTCGCCAACATTTATTCTTTGTTCCACTTTTAAGCTTGAGACACATTACGATAATATTTCTACACTTCAAAGATCTATAGATTGCATTGAGAGAGAGAGAGAGAGATTTTACAAACCATTTTCAAATCCCACAGTGCAGGTAAAATTCTCAGTTGTCGAATGTGTTATCTGAATAATGAAATATCCCATCATATTTTTATTTCATAATTTGAGAATTTGTATCTGATATTAAATTTAAAATTTTTCATATAAAAGGGAAAACAATATTACAAAAATCGCATGCAATCATGCAACCTTTTTTACGCGAATAGCTATAGACTTTCAGGACAATATAGGTATACATTATTGTCACATGTATGCTCCAACATTGTATTTGGTAAGTGACACCTTAAAGTAAACACTTTAATTTAGAATAAATCATGACGATCAATCAGCATTCTCTCGAATATGATAGTGAAAGCAATATTTCTCGTAATCCTAACTATTTTTTTTAATGAAAATGTCGTCACTAATTCTGCTACGAGATTAAATTTTTACTTTATTAAAACTTATTTTTTCATATCTATATTTTTATTCTTTTAACTTTTTGTCGGTTTAATTTTTATTATTATTTTAATTAAGGACATACGCAACGTACTTTGAACTTTATTGTCTTTTTCCCTGGAGTTGAAGAGTTCCAATACTTAAAGGAGCTGTGTGCTATATTTTAATGTTTATGTATGCTGTTGTACACTTCTTTTACAATAAGTTTGGATAAACAAAACATCTAGAATATTTATTTAGTATTTTTTATATATTTTTCTTTTAATTATACAAGAATGTCCATCAATTGATATCTTTTCAAAACACCTGGTAATGCTTGTTGATTTTTTGTCTATGAACATCTGATGGAACTACGATCTTAAATTAAGAATATCTTGAAAAATTATCAGTAGGTAAGGTACGTTGCGTATGTCCTTAATTAATGTATTTATTTACTTTTGATAAAGTTCAATGCACTTGCATAGCATTCCATGGTTTATTTAACACGTAGAAAACGGCGCAGATTCAAACTTTTCGGCAAGACTGTAGTTTTCTACAACTTTAAGCAGATATATAAGACGCGGATCGTGTCAAAAAAAAAATTTCAATCAAGTACAAACATTTTCTCTAATATTAATGCAGATCTCAAGATGATACGCATATTATACATGGACTTTTAAGTAATTGCTTACTTGTACTTTTATTAAGAAGTAGCTACCTTATTTTTACTTCCGTCATTCCTCAAAAGAAAACTTTTTCTTTAGTTCATGTATAAGCTAATCCTCTTTGTGAAAAAATGTATTCCTTATAACTATAATCTATCTAGATGCAGTAAGAGATAACTGCATTTTTTCTGTAAACATGATGCTCGCGAAATCCGACTTTGAAACGCATCAATACCCGCATAAAGCGAATACCATGGCAATCATTTGTGACGATTAAATTTGACATCAGGACATACCATAGGCGGGTTTTTCATTGTTAAGCGGTAATAGTGTTTCAACCAGTATTAAGAGGACGCTGTCAGCCATTTTACGGTTCAGTCATGAAGGAAATCGGATATATCACATCAGTGGCTTATACGTGTGTATGTCCTTAAAACAGAATTATTTTGTATACTGCTGAAAATAATACAAATTTGTACTTTTGAGTATAATTTACGTAAAATTTACGTGAATGTTTAGTATAGCACTTAAGAGAATTTCAGTTGTGTACATGCATTTGAACACTCACACACACAAACACACAACAAAATGTATCCACAGGTAATTCTTATGATATATAATTACAAATTTGGAATTAAGTAAAATTAATAAAGTTACATTTTCTTGTACCTTTTTCAATACATATATAAACACAGAAAGGCCTTCGTCGTGTTTTTATACCCTTGCAACATCCCTAATGAACGCTAAGGACTGGCGTATTTGATTTAAAGTAATGTAATTTAGTATGAAAATATAAAAACTAACCGTCATTGAACAGTTCCTGGAATAACACAGCGAGCTCCAAACTTCACGTGAAACCACGCTGGCCAACACGATAGCCAGTGTCCATCTGGAAATCATCCGCGAAGTAAAAGCCGTTGGGACGACATGTACGTCTAGATAGTAAAAATCTTCCGATCGCATAGCATGACCTGTTAACAGGCCATGGGGGATTTAAATCTGTTAATTCATGTGTATATAATACTGGCATTTCTTCCGTGTTCCCTTTCTTTTTCTTTTTTTTTTTATCTCTTTCTCTTTTTATTGTAAGTCATATCATGTCAATCAAACAATAACTGAAAAAGATTTATTTTTGCGAAATTGCGTGGATGTCTGTACAAATGGCTACATTTCAGGTTATAACTTCCCGATGCAAAAACTGATGTATTTATTTTAATGTTATGCATTGCATCGTCAAGGAATTTTATTTTAATGTTAATTGAAAGGAAATATCATATTGAAAAAATAGTTTTGGAGGATTGAATGCTTCCTGTTACAAATAATAGTTAAGTATAAACTGAGAATTTGTGTCAACAACCCCTTTTTGAGAAAGGAAATTTAATCAAGCCTTCTTCTTTGTCCCTCAAATGGTTCATGTGTAAATTTTTCCCCTCCTAGTATACAAAATACATATCACCAAAAAAAATGGAACTTTATAAAATTATTCTAAAAAATCGAATTGATGGGATTCGAAAACTTCTTCATTGGATTATTAGTATGACCTTTTAATAAGAAAGAATAATTTAATTATTAGAAATATTGAGATTGGAAAAAAGAGAGGGTTTTTAAAAATGTAAAATAATATTCTAACTGAAATCAGTACATGTTGATTTTCGTTTATTTTACTGGTTGTTTACTTTTCCCTGTATATTAATAGTTTTTTATGTTTGTATAGTTTTAGTGGTCTTCTTTTGATTAATCGGTATATAGATATTAATAGTATGTCGTCATTTGCGTTGTTGCGTTACAAAGGGTGCTAAGTCACTGTCAAGCAAGGTTCATTGAGAAAACATATAGTAGGATGATACTCAAGGCCACCTATTCCTAGAGAAAAACGTGTATGTCATTCTTGTAAACTTTTTATTGAAAATGAAAAACATTTTGTACTTTATTGTCCTAGTTATCATCAGTATAGATTACAATATTGTGATATACATATTTAATGCTCAATTGTACATGAAGGAAAATCCTATTATTGAATTATCAACCCTCCAAGAATTAAAATTGCTAGAAGAGTATGTAACTTTCTGAAAAAGTGCTTTGATTTTAAAAAAGAGAAACTTCAACATAACTGATATGCTTACTGGGATAATTTTTTATTGTTTTTATGTATGTTATTGTTTGTTATATTCATGTTTATATGCCAATGTATGATGGTGTTGTCAATAAATGAATTGAATTGTTAATTTAACAAATTTACATTTAATTCTAGGAGTAGGAATTTTCATAACTTTTCTCAAAATACATTGTTAAAAGGCGTTATTATTAATTTTAAATACATGTAATGTACTAATATATTGTAACCTTAACTGAAAACAATTTTATCTCAAATGTTACTTTTTTTAAATTTCTTGTGAAAATATTTAAATATATGCTTTAATTAGTGTAAAAAAGCTTTTATTTTCCTGTTACACTGCACTTAATGCAGAAGTTCTGAATTAAAGAACAATATAACAGATATGCAAGGTTCCTTAAAAAGTTTGTTCAAATCATGGTCCCTGGGGACCATAATAGGGAATGAAAGTTTTATACATTGGGATGTATAGAATAAAGTCTTTAAAAATCTTCCTCTCGAGATATTAGTCAGTCCCTCGGGTATTGTTCATTCAATTTTGTTCAGACGAGACTTTCTTGTATATATATACATTCTCCAATAATTGATTTTTCATCTTTTCGTAATATACAAGAAATATATATAATAATTTTTTTCCTAACTTTTAACGTTTTGAAAATGTCTGAAAAAATATATAAAGTTTACCCTAAAACTGTAATATCAGCAATTCAAGATATTTCTAGTAGGATTATACATAAATATAAAAAATACCATCCAGTCCTATGGGATCTCGCACAAATGCGTGATTTTTTTTAGAGGAAACTTCTTAAAACAACAGAACCTGATCTTCGAATTTTGAGGAACGTCACAGTCCTCTGACCTTAAATTGAATTCAAAACATATATCATTACATTTCCAGCTCAGTTTCGATTTCAATATGTAGGTTATGAACGTAAATTATACAGACAATTTGCACAAAGGGATGTATTAGCTGCCTCATTGACACATCTGTTGCGATATCACATGACCTGGTTGATCACGTGACGGTCAGTTTTGTTTTGTTTTTTCAAGTGTTGCACACATGTCGCTTCGATGCAAGTGCCTAACACACATAAATGAACTCACTGTCTCCTTATCCTTATGTACCTGGAAAGTGCTTCGGACGAGCCAACATGCAGTCAGTATTATAAGTGTAAGAAATATATTTAATAAGAATTTCAACTTACTAAGGATGGGTATCGCCAAAAATTTCGTATCGTGATATATCACGATTCCCCCCCCCCCCCCAAAATATCATGATAATATTGTGATATTTTTACACGCAATTTTTACTACAATTTCAAATAATTTCCGTATTATTTCTTACCAATATGCTATAAAAATATAACTTCACTTTTCAAATTTTTATTTATATAATAAAAAAGCATGTTTGGATGTCATCGTCTAACTGTTTTCAACATTGTTTACACCTCCTGTAATTGTTATTTTTAAAATAGTTTGAACAAACAATTTATGAATAATTTCCAGACTTCATAATTATGTACCAAATACCGGTATTTTAGCCTCCGTATCACGATACGTATCACGTAATAAAAAATCACGATATTCCGGTATACCGATAAAATCGCGCATCCCTACAACTTACCCACACATTTGAGGGTACCTGGTATTTTCTATCTACTCTTCATCGTAATTTATTTCAAAGTGAAGAATTTTAACACTTCCATCTCAAGCAAGGTGCATTGAGAGAATATCCTTCTCTTATGAATTTTCACAAAATATATATTTAAAATTAGTCATTATTAATCACTTGCGCCAGCCTATTATATAGTACACATATTTTAACATTCATTTATATTGTATTTAAAAAAAAATTTAAAGAGTGGCAGGACTACATATTAATATGCAAACATCCAAAAGTTGTGTGGAATTATTTTTTTTTATTTGTCTTTAAATTATGGACCATTGGGTTATTAGGCCCCGTTCACATGCGCCTATTTATAATTTGCATATATGCAAATTTTGCAACTCCATGCAGGTGTATTTTAATAGCGCATATGAACAGGGCTTAAGCAAGATTTGCAAGTGAGTATTTTTACTCCTAGTGCAAAATTTACATCTAGTCAGCCTAAGTGCAAATTAACTATTACATGTTAGTGAATTTACTCCTGCAAAATTTACACAAGGATAGAAATATTGAAATTGTCTAGAAAATATATCAAATTTCATTAAAATTTATATCAGAAAGAACAGTGGCCATCTGTTGTATTATTACATGTAATTAAGTCCAATTAATTATTATTTTAAGTAGCGTTTAAGCAAGAAATGGCAATGTTCTCCTTAGTGCATGGGAGGCACAGCGAGTTGAAGAGCAACTAGAAAGCCTAAACAAGTATTCAAACTTCATACTGATTTACGTACAGTCAGAGGGTGCATGTGAACGCATCGCAAAAATTTACTTACCAAAAGTAAAATTTGCAACATGTACAATTGACACCTGTAAGTAAATGAGAGCATGTGAACGGGACTTTAGCTAGAGTGCTAAGTTTGCATAATGCGTATGTACACAGGTAGGGGAATTTTTTTCCCCCTACAGGACAACAATTGAGGCCCCTTTAGTCACACTGTTATTGAAGAACCTTCATTTTGTATATATGGAATTATGGATTCAAGTTTGGTCATATACATGTATACAAGTCATAACCTCTTGGAGTTGAGACTGAAACTTAATATGATTGGTATCGTCAATTGATGATTTTAATTAATTCTATAGGGAGGAGAAGGGGGAAGCAAAACTAGATTTATTAATCAAAACTAAGATTGTATCGCATGGATAAACAGGAAATTTGTGTATATTAATATTTCTTTTATAGTGACAAAACATGCAACTTAATTTTTCCATGGTCTTTCCTCTTATCTGACAAACTCCAGTAAATCTCACAAAATTTATATGGTGACAGCTGCTTACTGAGAAATATAGTCATATCTACTGTATATTGATTGGAATTCAATATCTAAGGTATATTTTCAATAACACGGTTATCGAATTTTTATAAACCATATTTGAAGTTTATTTTTTTCAAATATTGATATGTGATGTGAATTATTTATTACATTTTCAATGATTATCGAAATGCCGAAAATTATATAGTATTGATTCACAGTCTTCAGTATAATTTTCACACTGTGAACTGGAATAACAAGACTATCTTAGTTTTATTTTCACGAAAACTAATATGATCAATAGGAAAACCGAAGAAAATATAATAAACGAAAACTTCTTAATGGATTTTTTTCATATCAAATGGTTACGTCAAAACTGGGACATATATACATGTACATGTACATATATCCCTGGCCATGGTCAAACTGAAAACCAACGCTGGATCATTTTGTAATAAAGATATAGATCACCTGTAGCCGCCGGTCTTAAAACGTTTATATAAACGTTTCTTCACACCATATACTCAAACTTTTGAATAGCACATTTTACATGCATTTTTTTTTAATCTTGAAGTGATACCAGTATATAGCACATTGTATAGGTCCTTTTCTGTTTTATCAAACTTTTCAAAACAGGTAAAACCTCGGAAATATTTGCATTTAAAAAAAATTAGTTGAGAAACAAATAGTAATATGTGTCAGATCTTTTTTTAAGTCAGAGTTAAACATGATTCCATTATATATACATGCTTTCTTTAAATTAAACGAAAATAAAATTTATCTGTAAAAAAGTTAACTCCTTTTGTTACTCAAAATGTTTCAATTCATTGATGGAATTTAACTTTTGAAATATGTAGGATTATTTTATATGAGTTAGTGCTTGCAGAGTTAGATCCCTTGACAATATAGTGACCTTCACCCTCGCCTCGTTTTGGTAGAGCTGCCGTCGATATACAATCATGTTTTGCCGGACGGCGCAAACATTTATTCCACAATGGTAAGTAAATAGAAAGTGAAAATTATAATTTATGTGACAAAAGAACTCAAAGTGTACTTTTACTTCATCATTCACTTTTTCTGGGTGTCCAAAATGCACAAGTATTCGTTATCAACTCGTGACCTCTAACATGCAAACTTGGTAGATTTACCGATGCCAAGCAATTATTAGGCAACAGAATGACATTTAAATGGGTCTTTAATGTAAATTCGACATTTTTGTCATTTATTCCTTGTTATTGCTGTTTTTAACATGGCAAACTTTTGGGGTAACGAAATCTTGGCTGATGGAACCCGAATTTCCTCGATGATGACTTATTGGGTATAATGAGATCCATGTTTAGAATAATACAGTGTTAGAGTAATGACTGTATTATTATTTATCAAGGATTACAATCCATGTTCTGACCGAAGAATATTTTTCTATGTTTATAATGATTAATACACTATTTGATCATCAACCCTATATCTGCTTATACTTGCTTCTTTAACACTTTCTTTTTCTCTTTCAGCACGCAAGTGCGTGGAATGGCGACATTGAAGGAAAGTAAGTACCTTTTAAGATGTTTTCTTGATAGCTACAAAAATGTTTGTGTGCCAAAAATTTATACTTGAAATTAATTTTCAGAATCAAAATGTGTTAATTGAAAAGTAATTTATATCATGATGTTGAATGAGTTTGCTCAGCTGATAATTTTTGTTTTGAATTTCTTAGTTCGTGTCAGATTAAAGTCTGTCACCAACATTCAAAAAATCACCAAATCCATGAAGATGGTGTCAGCAGCAAAATATGCAAAAGCTGAAAGAGAATTGAAGCCTGCCAAACCATACGGAGAGCAAGCTACCGGTTTGTAGTGTCCTAAGGATGTTATGCACATAGATTTTTAGCAATAATTACAGAAAGAAGCCTACTTTCAAAGTTTGTTCATCATTATAAGTTTCTTGGACAGTACTATTCTGTAGTACTTGTAGTAACACATTTGTCCAGTACAGAATGTACATATTACATAAATCATGAATGTTTGTCTTCTTACAGCCCTGCAACAGAATATGAATATGAAGGAAGATGAAGAAACAGAGATGATCCTAGCCTTGACCTCTGACCGAGGTCTCTGTGGTTCAGTCCACTCCAGTGTGGTCAAAGCCATCAAGGCCAGGCTAGCAGAGAAGGACGATTGTAAACTGTTATTGGTTGGGGACAAAGCCAAGGCCATGTTACAAAAGTATGAATCTAGAATAAGAGATGTACATATAAGTAGAGAGGAGTGTTTTAAATATAATTTACAAAGGATATTATAATGAAATAAGCATCAATGGGCTAAAATATATTGCTTTAACAGATTACAGTTTCCTTAAGAAATCTTTCATTGGAGCTCAAAAAAATGTGCAGATGCCCTATTACAATCACTTTGTCTGTCTGTTTAGCTGTGTCTCTGTCTAAAATTTATCTAAATCACTTTTTTTGTGATTATCTGATATTTAAATTGATATATTGTTTCAGCAGGCAGTGAGACATACATCTATTGTGATACCAAGTTTGATCAGGCATATCATCCCAACTTTGCATTCATCTCTTAGGAGAGATTTTTAATTTTGTTAGAATGAAATGGACAGAAAGAAATGGAACTTTTTCTAAGATTTTCCTGTTATAAGCCTACTAGACAAGAATGATAACTCTAACAAGTCCCTTGGATTAATTATACTGCATGCTGGCAGCTGCAGAAGGTCCAGAGCCTAATGCTGTCACAGTAAGATTAATAAAGCCTCCCTCTGCAGATGATGTCTCATAGAGTTGAGGCCAAGTCTGGTTGATGTTTGCATTCACCGAAGGCTGGCATTTTATAAAATGAATGCTTCATTTTGGAGGAAATACCCATTTCATTGAAGTATACTCTTGGCAATTGGGGGAAAAAACATAAGACGATTTACTGTATCACTGTCATATGTAAATATTTTTTTGCATTGATTGCAATGTGAGAAATGTTTTACTCTCTAACTGAAGGAAAATGCTATTTTAGAAATTTTTTTTTTTTTTCAGAGGATTTTGATTTGGAACTAATTTTCTCCCAAAATTGATACTGCAGCTAGTGTTGACCACAGATCTTCAATTGTTTTATTTATTGTTTTAGGGTACATGGGAAGAAAGTTCTAGGACATTTTAATGATATAGGAAAAGTTGTTCCTGTGTTTCAAGATGCTTCAAAGATTGCAATGTCAGCAATTACCTTTGGCCTTCAGGACTTCACGAAAGTTACCATGTATTTCAACTCCTTCAAGTATGTTAATTCAAGTTTATTACATGTATATTGATTGTTAAAATAATGCAGGATTCAAATGCCTTTTTATTTACAAGGGTCAATAGACAGTGCCCGCTCTTTGTACTTAAGAGTCTTTTTTACTCAATACATGTAGTAAAAAAGAAAAGCATGCATGGACTTCATCCAGAGACTCTTCAGATGGTCTTTAAAATACATGTATCTGTCAGTTAAAATTGGAAACAGATTACCAAATAATGAAATGATTATTATCCTTATTATTAGAATGTTATCCTTTATTATTATTTAACTTAAATCAATGTTCAAATAAAATTGAAAAATTCATGAATATTAATCTGTTTTTGGGTTTTATCTCTATGATATAGGAATATACAAGCTGAAATTGCTTTATTTCAAATGCAAGAACTTCGTTATCTCTTTTCATGAATTCATACAAGTATCTTCCCTTCTTTACTTTTGAGTCTATATATATAATCCTTTTTAATAACAGGAGTGTTGTAGCCTTCAGAACCCTCAATATAGCTCTGCCAACCAAAAACAACTTAGCTGGATCAGAGAATTACAACCTTTATGACAGCATCGATGATGAAGTCCTGCAAGCCTATAATGAGTTCACACTAGCCACCATGATTTACTATGGTCTTAAAGAGGCACAGTGTAGTGAACAAAGCTCCAGAATGACAGCTATGGACAGTGCTAGCAAAAATGCAGGTAGGTTATTTTGATGGTAGACTGTGCTGGTAAGTAATCGAGCTGGCATACTTTTGAAGCAAAATGTATGCAATCAAATTGGAATAATGTATTAGCAAAAATGTGGATATGTCAGTGTTACGTTTATTCTTAATTTTGAACCTATAATGAGTAATGATGAGATTGAAGGAGGGTGTCAGATGTGGGAAGCTTAAAATCCATACATCTAACTTATAAACCTCTTCTCATTTTATGAAAATTTTATAGGTCAGATGTATGGATTTTTTTTTCAACTGCTTACACCTGAGATTCCCATTTGATCTTGAAAAATGAAAATGACATTTTGGATATTTAAGCCTTAAATACATTTCAAACGTTTTACTATTTTTAAATTTCAGGAGAAATGATTGACAAGCTGACCTTGACCTTCAACAGGACCAGACAGGCTGTGATCACTAGAGAGCTTATCGAGATCATTTCAGGAGCAGCTGCTTTGTAATGATTGTGTTACACAAAGACACAAAATAAATTCACTAATATCATACCAGTGGCCAGGGTGAAACACCATTTACATTTAAAGTGTGGAAATGTGAAAATGTAGTGCTGAATCTTTTGAATTATTACGTTTCAACTGATTAAAGAATTTGAGGTATATATTTTTTTGTTGTGAATTTTCACTTGTTCAGGTGGGATGGAAAGAGTAATTTCAGATGTATCAAATTTTATTCTTTCTAAAGCTGTTTTAAATATAAAACTAAAGGAATGGCTCATTGCCTCTTAAAACTTACATTGGATACATGTATCTGCAGAAAATTCAGAGTTTGCACGAGTTTATCAAGGTAGTTCTTGAGAACCCCCATACTGAGATTAAGTATTTAACGTTTTAACTTCATTAATTTTTAATAGTGTTTGCTACCTTAATCATATCAACAGCAAATTCCAAGAAAGGTGTTCTTCCACTTTCATGGTCTTATTGGTTGGGGTGTAATGATGATTGATTGATGGTATATTGTAACTGTCTTGTCTGTCCAAGATGCTAAAACAAAGTTTATATTTTGAAGTAAAACATGTATGTTCTGGTGCAAAAGTTAAGGCCAATAGAGATACAAGGTTTTGAAAGTCAAACTTTGAGGAATATGTGGTACATTCAGAAAGGTCTTATCACAGGAAATGCACATGCGGAAAAATATGAAAGCCCTGTCTCTTTGTTGCAAAATTAAGACTAAAGTTACATGAAACATTTGTGAAAATAGAGCAAATTATAATGTCATGAGATCAAAAACTACAAGGATGTTTGAAAAGGTCTTGTCACATTTAATGCACATATAAAGATGTGAAAGCCACATCTCGAGAGGTGCAAAAGTTGATCAAAAATGAAATTTTTTTGAAAAGCAGATCAAACTTCAAAGTCATGAGGTCATGAATCGTAGTATACCTTAAATGCAAATATGAAAGCCCTATCTTATTCAAAAGTTATTACCAAAGTCTTAATTCAGTAAAGGTGGTCAATCTTCCAAAGTCAAAAATAGTAGTACGTTCTAAAAGGTCTTGTCACAGGTGATGCACAAGTGAAACTATGAAATCCCCATGTCTCATTTAAAACATCATAAAACCTTAAATTTAAGAAAAGTAGGTCAAAATTCAGAGTACAAGATCCAAAAACGTAGTACATTCTAAAAGGCCTTATCACAGATAATGCACACGTGAAATATGAGATCCCTATCTTCTCTCGATGATTTTTATGGCAAACAGACGAATGAGATTCAATATTTTCTGGAAAAGTTTTGTATAACAATGTTTGCGATCAATGGTATCCTTTGTGAGCACTATGTTGCCAAACACGTTGATTTACATGTAACTGTGAGGTTGGATTTCTTGAAGAGTAATGCAGCTTATTAACAGCGGGTTTTACCTATATTTTTTGATGCATTTGAAAAATTCGCTTCCTTTTTAGCTCACCTGAGCTGAAAGCTCAAGTGAGCTTTTCTGATCACCCGTTTTCCGTCGTCCGTCCGTCCGTCTGTCCGTCCGTCTGTAAACTTTTCACATTTTCAACTTCTTCTCAAGAACCACTGGGCCAATTTTTACCAAACTTGGTACAAAGTATCGTTGGGTGAAGGGGAGTGTAAGTTGTTAAAATAAAGGGCCAAGTCCCCTTACAAGGGGAGATAATCAATAAAAGACAAAAATAGGGTGGGGTCATTAAAAAATCTTCTTCTCAAGAACCACTGGGCCAGAAAAGCTGAAACATATATGGAAGCATCCTGGGGTAGTGTAGAATCTAAATTGTTCAAATCATGACCCCCGGGGGTAGGGCGGGGCCACAATAGGGAATCCAAGTTTTACATTGAAATATATAAGAAAAATCTTTAAAAATCTTCTTCTCAAGAACCACTGGGCCAGAAAAACTGAAACTCATGTGAAAGCATCCTGGGGTAGTGTAGAATCTAAATTGTTCAAATCATGACCACCGGGGGTAGGGCGGGGCCACAATAGGGAATCCAAGTTTTACATTGAAATATATAGGAAAAATCTTAAAAAATCTTCTTCTCAAGAACCACTGGGCCAGAAAAACTGAAACTCATGTGAAAGCATCCTGGGGTAGTGTAGAATCTAAATTGTTCAAATCATGACCACCGGGGGTAGGGCGGGGCCACAATAGGGAATCCAAGTTTTACATTGAAATATATAGGAAAAATCTTAAAAAATCTTCTTCTCAAGAACCACTGGGCCAGAAAAGCTGAAACTTAAGTGGAAGCAGCCTGGGGTAGTGTAGAATCTAAATTATTCAAATCATGACCCCCGGGGGTAGGGTGGGGCCACAATAGGGAATCCAAGTTTAACATTGAAATATATAGGAAAAGTCTTTTAAAAATCTTCTTCTCAAGAACCACTGGGCCAGAAAAGCTGAAACTTATATTGAAGCATCCTGGCGTAGTGTAGATTCTAAATTTTTCAAATCATGACCCCTGGGGGTAGGGCGGGGCCACAATAGGAAATCCAAGTTTTACATTGAAATATATAGGAAAAATCTTTAAAAAACTTCTCAAGAAACTCTGGGCCAGAAAAGCTGAAACTTAAATGGAAGCATCCTCGGGTAGTGTAGATTTTAAATTGTTCAAATCATGACCCCTTGGGGGTAGGGTGGGACACAATAGGGAATCCAAGTTTTACATTGAAATATATAAGAAAAATCTTTAAAAATCTTTTTCTCAAGAACAACTGGGCCAGAAAAACTGAAACTTATGTGGAAGCATCCTGGGGTAGTGTAGATTATAAATTGTTCAAATTATGACCCCTGGGGGTAGGGCAGAGCCACAATAGGGAATCCAAGTTTTACATTGAAATATATAAGAAAAATCTTTAAAAATCATCTTCTCAAGAACCACTGGGCCAGAAAAGCCGAAACTTATGTGAAAGCATCCTGGGGTAGTGTAGAATCTAAATTGTTCAAATCATGACCACCGGGGGTAGGGCGGGGCCACAATAGGGAATCCAAGTTTTACATTGAAATATATAGGAAAAATCTTAAAAAATCTTCTCAAGAACCACTGGGCCAGAAAAACTGAAACTTAAGTGGAAGCATCCTGGGGTAGTGTAGAATCTAAATTATTCAAATCATGACCCCCGAGGGTAGGGTGGGGCCACAATAGGGAATCCAAGTTTAACATTAAAATATATAGGAAAAGTCTTTAAAAAATCTTCTTCTCAAGAACCACTGGGCCAGAAAAGCCGAAACTTAAGTGGAAGCATACATTGTTTAAATCATGACCCTTGGGGGTAGGGTGGGACACAATAGGGAATCCAAGTTTTACATTGAAATATATAAGAAATTTTTTTTAAAAATCTTCTTTTCAAGAACCACTGGACCAGAAAAGCTGAAACTTATTTGGAAGCATCCTTGGGTAGTGTAGATTCTAAATTGTTCAAATCATGACCCCTGGGGATAGGGCGGGGCCACAATAGGTATTACGAGGGGGGAAATCTGGTAAAGAACAGAATGGCCAAAGTTACTCAGGTGAGCGATGTGGCCCATGGGCCTCTTGTTTTGATTTTGGATGTTTTAAATCCAATTCTTATTCTCTTTCCTTATTGTCGCTTTCTTGTTTGTTCTCTGCCTGTTGCTGCGTCTCTTGATCATTCTGCGTACCAGCGATTTCCGTACAGTTAGTTTTGCTTACACACATTTAGCTGTTGCTTCGTTGGTTGCTTGTAAACTCTCTAGATTGACTTTAATTGTTTTCAGGAGGAAAACGTAAATTCCTAGAACCAGAATGGACAATATAGCAATTACATGTACATATTTAGAATTATGTGCCCAAAAGACGATGTTCTGTGTATTTGTATCTAAGGTTTAAGGATGTTTTTTTTCTGTTCACTTGAACATTGTAACAAGCTGTGCATAAATTAGCAAAGCCGTCTTGATTGAATTGTTTGACTAGATTTCCTTTACTCAGTAGACAGCTAATAGTGGTTTCCTACAGATATTTAGAAACAGGAAATAGGTGATCAGTCGTGCCATGGGTATATGTACAGAAATACACCAGATTCTATAGCATGTCTTTAAAAAGCAGAATCATTAGTACAACGTCTATAATTACTTCGTTGGTACTGATGATCAGGTAGGTTGTGCTTTGATGATTTATTTTCATCGTTTTGTCCTTTAAAATGAGCACACAGACCGTCAAATTAAAAGCAGGATGGAAAGAGATACAAAAATATTACCATTATAGTAATATGAATTTTAAGATCCATGTTAATACCATTGTCTCTAATATTCAGGATATTTGTCTCTTTTGTTTGATACAGAATTAAATGTCTTTTTTTCTAATTTTTCATTACTGCTGTTGTCTTTTAAATAAAAAATGTAGCTGCTTCAGTCTTGACATTATAATTATTGTTGGAAGAGAGCTTTGAGCAATCCCTTCACTTTATGTATATATCCAGACGTTATCTTATACCAAAAAAATCATTTTAATCCATTTCAACTAAATAACTGTAAAATTGAGTTTCTTTTTACATGTATTTAATCTGTTGCAATCTCTGCTCTATATCCGTTACCCGTCTTGTTTCTAAACCCCGTTTATTGTTTCAAGAAATATAATTGATCAATAATGAACTCATATACTACATTTGTATTTCCAAGGTTCTATCATCATGTTTTTTAATTCTCATTTTCATTAAAATATCAGCGTTACAAATCAAGGAAAACTTTCCGAGTTTTAACGGGAATACTAGCTACTGACTATAGGAAGGTTCAGTTGTGAGGAAGGATAAGTTTCTTCAACTTTTAATTAATGTCTAATATATCTCATTTACATATAAGTAAATTAATTATTTATTATTGTGTTTCAGACTATCAGGTATTAATATTTTATCATATAATTATGTGCTTCTGAATCATCATGTTTGTTTTCTAGTCTAATTATTCTTTTACAGACTTCTGACATTTGCGATCTTATTTATACAATGCCTATATTGAATCAGTTGGAAATCTAAAGCTTGAGCTTATAGTTCCAAATTTGAAGCAAAATTAACATTTATATAATTGATATATATAAGGTAGGGCTGGGTATCGGCTGGAAATTTCGTATTGCGATATGTATTGCAATATTTTCAATGACAATTAATATGCTCTTTTTTTTTATTTTACT